GGTTCGATTGAGGGGGCTGTTAAAACTCTAAGGTGGGTCAATAGCGGAGAATAGGGATTTAAATAAATATGTCAGCAACACTCTAAATACCATCATATCCGCTATTTAGAATGTTGCTGACAGTGGTTCGTTAAAAAAGATTACTACACCTACAGTTGTTTGTTCCTATAGGGTTGGGTATTTACTAGTACAGGTCATCCCAATTAATGTATTGAATCATTCAATGTGCAATGTAATAAGTTTATTTTGTAATAGAATATAACACGGTGTAACGTTGAATATTTACTATATTTATGTTATTCATTGAAATGAATTTTTTTCTTAAATTGGATACTTAGATTGCGAATGTTCGTACACGATAGTACTGAATTGTTACGAACACTTGGTACTTTGTAGATGCATGTTTGCTTTGTCTTCAGATGCGTCCTCATCCAGTGTCCATCTGCGATGTATTGTCTTCTCACTCCTTATCAAGCTTTCAGGCAAGTTCTTATTTCAATTACTCCATTCACTTGTCTCAACAAATCGTCCTTGATGAAATCTGCATCTGGTGTCGACTCTCTGAAATCCAGCTCAGACATAATAACTCTAATATTTCTCGTTAGTTTACTTACTAATTTTGATGGAAATTAAACGTACAGTGGAATCAATATTAGATAAACACAACAGCGGGTACCATTACTCTTTTTAGCATTGTATGTCAAAAGTAACTGCTATAACTATAGTAATAATTTGTGTCTATATTTAATAATTCGAAACAGTTTGTTGTTAGTCACGGGGGCCTGGCTATCATCAAACACGATTCGTTATTACAAATTTATATGTTGTAAAGTCTTACTGACATATATTACTGACCACTGTTACAATTCCTTCCAATATTTCTTTTTGAATCAGGTTGTACAAAATCCTATAGGTAAATTTTTGTCGACCGATTTGGATCGAATTTGAAATGAATAGATGGACGTTTTAGAGACAAGACTTGCATTGTGTATATAAGAGGGTTAAAAAGTAAATGTGAAAATTAACAGCTAATAAAAGAGAAAAGAATAAGATGCAACAAAGATCAAAAGCGATGACAGATTTTCAAGCTTAAAAAGTAACTCATTTTCATTCACTTCAAGTCAATAAGGATGGCCTGTTGTACTCAAATGCTTAAGATTTAACGCCATTTAATGGCTGCGGTAAAGCTACTTCTTGGTAAGTATTCATTTATACTAAATTAGCCTAGTTATATATTCTTCCTGTTTATGGAATTGGTCCGGTTTTACACGCGTTTGGCGACACTTTGGATTTCGCTCGTCAAACCAACTTGAAGTTTAACTTTTCGAGGCTGCACCTAATGCGTACCACTTTAATTATAAATATCAGTAGACAAAACCGATGAGTCAGCTGAAAGTATTGGCATGTAGCAGGCGTTGGCTTATTTTGACTTTTTGTGTATTAATTTTCACAACGTTCATAATGTGCATTAATCAAGTGGTTCAGAACACAATTTTGTAACACACAATCTGTGAAATAATTTTTAATTTACTTTTAGAAGTCCTCATGTCAATGTCGGACAACCATTATTCGACCCACATGTATCCCACATTGCATTGCGTGTGTTCTTCTCTAATAGAAACAGAGCCTCCAAGAGGCCATTAAGGACTCATTAAAATACCTCAAAAAAACTTTAAAAAAACCCCAAAACAAAAGTAGGAGAAAAGCCGCCCAAAAAAAGTGGGAGGGATTGTATAATTAACAATCATTTACTGAAGTGGAGCCCCTCGCCCAGCCGCGTATGACCATCTCTCAATTATATCTGTTAGCTTTAAAACACAAGTCTAGTACATAGAATGTAGAGAATTTCGCATTTATTTTCTCACTGACAAAAATGACGCCTGGACAATGGTGCTTGGTGAAATTCACCTATAAATATGATGTAAAGCTTACTGTTATTTTAAAGTTATGGACACGTCAGTTAAAACATTCCTTAATTTTAACAAATTTATTTATGTCTTCATTATGGTACGGTACCAAGTCAATATAAACCGGCAAGAGTACTTCCTGTATTCAAAAAGGGATTCTTTACTAAGTATATTTAATCGTATTCTAGAAAGGTTAATGTAAAAAAGACTAATTAGTTACATTGAGAAGTTTAATATTCTTTACACCAAACAGTTCGGATTTCGAGAAAAACACTCTACAGAACATGCTATTTTATCCATTATAGATAAAATCAAACATGCTGTCGAGATGGAAAATTCTCATGTGGCATTTTCCTAGATCTAAGCAAAGCATTTGATACTGTAAACCAATCAATCTTACTACAAAAACTTGAGCATTATGGCATACGAGGAGTCGCATATGACCTGTTCGTTTCTTATTTAACTGAACGTAAACAATTTGTTTCAATTGATCAGAAATGTTCAAGTCATCTTTTATTATTCCATGTGGAGTTCCTCAAGGTTCAGTTCTTGGACCCTCGTTGTTCCTGTTGTATGTTAATGATATTAGCTAGCCTGCGAACCGGCTCTCTTTGAACTCTCTTTGAAATTTGAGAGAGAGCCTGCAGGCCTAGCTAATAAAAACGCGTCTGTGCGTTGCTTATAACGACGCAGGGTTCCCATTGGTTGAAATTGAATTAATTACATTATACTGCCATAAAAGGTAATTAAATTTACACAACAATAGATTCAAATAAAAAAATATCGTTCTATAGCGACGAGTTGTATAGAAAACTAAATCTTTGTTTAAAGTTACAGTAAAGGATGGGCAATCAAAAGCTCTTAACAATATTCTAGACGGAAACGGTGTTTTTGCTGCGTATAAGAGAGTTTGGCAAATACAACGGCAACGTTCTTATATTAGCCTTTAGATCTTAACAGTAATGTGCGTCAGTTGTATAGCCCCAGCGAGTTAACGCTCCATAGAGCGTCTTGTTCAATTAAGGTTGTCCGCATTGAAAGTCAAAACTCAAGACCGCAAAACCGCCTCTAAGCGCGAAAAGCAGAATGGACGTTATTTTGTCTATCCCCGACTATACTGTATATGCACACCGCATTTTGAAAATTTAATATAAATGCCCTGTTTAATTAATTATACGTCGCTATTGTGTCGAGTCAAATTCGATTTTCCCCCCGAAAATCGAAAACACCTTTATGCACCCAACTATACGGCATACGGCAACAACTATACGGCATACAACCAACTTTAATAAATAGGTGATATTAAAGTTAGATAACATAAAAATGAAGTGAAACTGTCGGTATTTGTCGGTATTTCAATTGTCGGCAATTAGTACGACCGGTATCCTGTTTGATAACAATAACCATTACTATAGGTGTTAGCAATATTATATTTTTGCACTCTCACTGATTTGACTTGATTAGCCCACAGCCTCACGCCGGCATTAATATATTTTGGGGGTGACTGTTATTTTCGTGCAGTGTGAAAAGCAATATTTTAAAACAAACTAAATATTTAGAGAGTAAATTTACTATGATACACTCACAAAACTATAAAATGTAGCTGTTACATGGTGTTACATACGCTTGCAGCATTGGCAAAAATAGTACCGCAAAAATGGCCGCGTGAGATAGCTATTAATGGCAATGCACGAGTAACTTTGGAAAGAGTGTGAAAATTAATCAAAAGCGTTATAATTGTTGTATTCCAGAAGGAGCTGCGGCAGATCATAAAAAGTCATTAAGAAAGTGTTTCCATCCCAAAGCGTATATATATAACAACCAAGGCCGCAGTTTTGCAGTTTCATTTTCGCATGTTTCAAAAAAACTCGCACGAATGTTTTTCCTACTCTCGGTCATTTTTGGCTTGTTGGCGTGGCAGGGCCAAGCCATAGATGCCGCATATTGTGCAAGAGCAAGATACAATTGTAAAGAGGATGTATTCCTGTGCAGAGCAGCGTTTGGAACGGCCTGTGATGCAACAGTTAGGACGAATAGGTATCCACCGACGCCAAAACCGTGCTCCAAGGTATGCCTAAGTGCTATTAGCATTCTAAAAAGTACTAAAAAAGGAAAAGAGTTGTTCGATTGCGACTGCAACCTGGACGGAGATTGCCTTGTTGTTAAGGCCCGGATCGAAAAATGTTTCGACACGAGTCGCAGGCGAAGAGTAAGTTGTACCAGGGCTTTGTGGAATTGTACAAGAGATCCTACATGCCGTTTTCTGAAGAGCAAATTCCAGGATGATTGCCGTGAATTGTTTAACGGCGTTCGTTGAGAGGAGAAGTGTTTGAGAATACAGGAGAGACTGTTTGAACGTTCGAAATACGGCAATCCCTTGAAGAATTGCGAATGTGATGGCAGTAGCGAAGCTTATTGCCGTGGAATCAAAGCACATGCTCAACAGTTACGCTGTATGCCGGGGATGGACGGCAATGGTAAACCCGTATTATAACGCAACTGGGAGTGGCGATGGCGAGATAGAATCAAAGGCGAAGAACCATACCGAAATCACCAAAACGAGTAGCAAATCAATATCGAATCTTCAATCCTATTCAATATGGACGCTGGTATTAATTTCACCATTATTTCTACTCTAATTCTTCAGTAATGTTTTATGCACATTATCTCTACTGAGAACAGGACGCATGGACATTGTGCCAACATTTGCATGAAAGAAAATGTATGTTCTCAGGGTATTTTTTGTTGTTGTCATCTGGAAATAAAGGACGTTTATGGGGGTAATATATTGTGCGGTGTTTCTACTGTAGGTGTAAAGTTACTGTATATGTTCAATGGACCAATCCCTCATTAACCAAAATTTTGATCTCAACAAGTTTAGACAAAACAATCATCAGAGCTCAAAAGAGCATCACAAAATTAGTAACACTCCAAAATTTCGTTGCGAAATGTTGTAAAATGCGGATAATATAGTCCAGCGAAGTTTGCAATTTTTCAGTCATTTTGTATTACGCACGGGAAATGGTGTGCACCGATTTCCTTGAAATGGTTTGTGCATCAGCTAAAAAACTCAAAGGTAAAAAAGCGAGTACCGGGGATTCGATTAACAATAAAATAATTAAGTTCGCTGTGACTGTTTTAGCACCTTACTTTGTTAAATTATTTAACTCGTAATACAAATTTCACGCACGTAATTGAATGCATTTTGAGACGAATGCATTTTGAGACGTTGAATGCATTGAGACGATAGAAACTTTACGTTTTTTAATTTAAGGATTTTTAAATATTTGAGCGAATAAATACTGAAAGCTCACCCATGAGTTTGTACAGCTATTTCGATTGCTTGAACTCTGCCCTTGTATTTCTGTGGTTCATGCCAGCCTTTGTCCTAATAGTAAGTAAGTTAGTTACATACACAGGGTTGCCGAGAGGGGAAGGGCAATTTGCCCCGGCCCCCAACCAAATGGGACCTCCAACTTGTGAGAGATCCAGAGAGTTGGTAACATGGAATTTTTGTGGCCAAATAATGAAAATAATCGTGTGTATATGCACATATATATGCATATTGTAAACAATTTATGGTTGGAATAAAAATTGTTGTTGTTGTTATTATGACGTCTCTGGAAAATCAAATGGGAGACTCAGATTGTTTATCAAATTGAATCCAGACAGTATGTCCATGACATGCGGTCCATACAAAATGATTTTAGAACGAAATCTGTTGGGAAAAAGTTTTTCAAATCCGAGTCTCCTTAGCGTAAAATTAATGAGGTATTCAACTTGTCTAAATGCTTTTAAATGCTATAATTATGCTATTAAATGCTTTGAGAAGATAGAGGTAACTCATGTTTGTGTTCTCTTTTATTTCAGAAAGAAATCTGTTAAGAAAGAATAGGCAAATTTGAAGAATTCCAGAGGCAATTCTTTAAAGTAGAGTGTATTCGAGAAGAACGAAGGATCTCAAGTATAATTTGTAAAGAAATTCAAGAGGATATTAGAAGAACAAGTCAAAGAATTGTCTTTTAAAGAATATTTCTCTTCAGGACAAGGACATGCATCGATGAAACGATCTTGCTCCTACATGAACATGCCACCACCATTACATTATAAAGCATACAATACTAGTAATGCTGCCTTGTCAAAAGCTGCAAAATCTGTGGCTAAGAAAACTATGGAAGATGCTAATGAATTACACGTAGAGAATTGTAACTCAATAACTAAGTGTGGTATTTCGTGTGATGGAACCTGGCAGCGACGCGGGTATTCTTCATTAAACGGTTGTGTCACAACCTTGTCGATAGAGGCCTACTTTGGGGGCCAAGGTCGCCGTTATTATGTGCAACATTGTGCGACATTAGGCGACATTGGCAATTTTCAAAGAAAAGTAGTGTGCGTCGCTGGGCGACATTGAGTGACACTGGGGACATTAGGCGACAATGGACAAAACTGAATGTTCAGCAATATCCAGATAATCTCAAATATTATAATTCACAAATTATGCATCTACATAAAAAATACAACAGTAAATATCCAAATATAATTTAGTTATCAAAAATTGGTTCCTGTGGCAAAGAACACAATTAGTTTATTACAAATAGTTTGCAAAAATAACAAGGAACATTTCTCTAACTGCTAGCCTGACAATTTACTCAAAGTTTATACCGTAGTACACATACATGCCCAGTGCATGGTACATTTACAGCATCATGGAACTCTGAATTCTTAATTATTAAATTGACTGGTGTAAACACCTCATAGAGTTTTAAAACCTGTTTATGGACTGTGGTATGCAGTGATAGAAGTGGACAAGGTGCTACTAAATTTGCTCGCTTAAATGTAAGCCAATAAGCTTGTGTTTTAACCAATCATATTAACTTTAAACGTTAGTTGTGAGGCTTTCAACAGTTGCAAACTTTTGATTAGTATAGTTTTCTTGTAGTTACAGTATAAATTATAAAGTTAATATGTTCAAGTGTACTGTGTACATCGTGGTGTTTGGTATTGGGTTTTTTATTAGTAAGGAAATAAATCACAAAATAACGATAAAAGTACCTTGTTTGATGTATTTCCAGCAAGAATCAGACATAAATTAATAAATAGAAACAAGCTAGAATTGAATTCACAAAAGTTTATATTCGTTAATATAAAAAAATGTTTAAAAGAAATGGCGGCTGGGATTTGAGCCCGCAATACCACAGCACGTCTAATTTAATGGTTTAGCTTCTAACTTGTACTACTTCGTGTAAGGAAACATAATAATTGATTATGGCGGGCCTTGGCGACATTTTATAATAACCTGTACAGTAGATCTTTCTGTGGTGCGTTCATTGCTCTGTATCTTTTGCGATGATACCTAATTATGAGATGTCGATCATCGTAGCTTGGTCGAAAAGTAAGTAATTTTATTTTACAAACTACAAAGTCGTATTTTGAACATACTATAGATGACTTTCTTTATTATAACTACAGACGGTACCGTTTCGGCCTTTAGGATACCTAGTGTACTTCACTAGGCTAGTGAGAGGTATTCTGTACTTTAGCACCCGCCAGTTATCATGAATGTATCCTTGATAATAAGATCTATGTTTGATTTCATATACAACATTTAATGGCGTGTGATTGACTAATTTGACTGAGTTTCACAAAGAAACACATTGGAGAAGATAGCCAGAAGGCTGCCTTAACAACATAATTTAGGTAATTAATTCTCATTGGAATGATGCGTAGTAATTCCATATACATATAAACCCCAAATAACCCAGCCTCATTAGTACTGGTGAGAGATGGTGCTCTAACAGCACATGCCCTTGGTGTTTGATTACATGTATTTATAACAAAAAACATGCAGGAAACTAACAAGTAAATAAGGAATAGACTAGAATGGACGACAAACTCAAAGTGCAAGATTGGGCATGCTTGTGAGAGATTATGCGAGATTATGCGACGTTAAGCGAATAGACTGTTAGGCAAAGTTCAAAAATTGGGTGCACATGGGCGAAATTGGGCGACCTTGGCCGCCAAAGTAGGCCTTCGATAGACACTGGTAAATGTTTAAATGTTGAAATAATAACAAAAGTTTGCCATGGGTGTCAAAGAATTGACAAACAACCAAATGCTTTAAAGAAAACTGATATGCTGGATAGACATCAGTGCAATGCAAACTATCAAGGATCAACACCATCTATGGAAACAGAAGGGATGAAGAAGATATTTGGAAGAAGCGAGGAGACACGTAAGCTGCAATGTACAGAGTACTTTGGGGATGGTGACAGCAAAGCGTATAATGAAGTGGAAAATGCTTATGAAAACATATATGTGGAAAAGAAGGAATGTGTCCGTCATGTCCAGAAGCGAGTTGGGACGGCACTACGGAAACTGAAGAAAGAAACAAAAGGAATTGCTGGTAAAAGGAAGCTAACTGATTCCCTTATCGATAAGCTTCAGAACTATTATGGAATTGCTATCAGAAGTAATTCTGGAGATTTAGAAGGCATGAAGAGTTCAATTCGTGCCAGCTTGTTTCACTGTGCTTCCTCTGAAAGGCGAAAACTCCACAAACACTGTCCGGATGGTCCTGATAGTTGGTGTCGGTATATATAAGCAAGACAAGGCAAACAATACAAGCAAGTATAAACCAGGACCTGGTCTTCCTGACGAAATAATTAGTTCTGATGACCTGCTGAAGAAGTGTCTGGACGGAAAAACTCAAAATCAGAATGAGTCCTTGAATGGCATGATATGGAACAGGCTGCCGAAGAGTATCTTTGTTGGTGCTGATGTGCTGGAGTTTGGTGCATATGATGCAGTTGCCCACTTCAATATTGGTTTCAAGGCTTTAATGAACTCGGTTTGGTCCAGGACAAATTTTTGAATACGGGGTTGGGAAAGCTGACAAGAGACGGGTAAAGAAAGCTGACCACAGAAACACTCCAGCAGTGAAGAAGAGGAGAAAGATCCTGATATACAAAAATACAAAAAAGAAAGAGGGTACTACAGACAAGACAGGAGCATTCTGAAATGGTAGTATTGACTTTTAGTACTATAATGCCATTTTAAGGCGGCTTTCTTGTTGATAAAATGAAAGATTAACTTTAAACACGTTTTCCTCAAATTGGCAAAAATTGCCGATTTCCATGATTGCTCGCAGGATATCTCAAGAACGATTTAAGCTATTTTGATAAAATTTTCAGGATAAACTCACCATGTATTGCTCTAGGAGCTAAACCAAAACGATTTAGAGTAAGTTGAATAGTTTGGGAATTAGTAACAGTTGCTTTGTGGACAGTTGTATACGTGTCGAATAATTGCTTGGCAAAAATGTTGTTACTGACACAATGCTGATATTTCATGTTTAACTCCTAGACAATCTTGTTAGTTTGTAAATAAAATTTATTCCAGGATTTTATCTTTAATGCTTATCTAGCAATCCTGCATACAAGATTGTATCAATTTCACGATGGGGGTGCTTTATCCCGGGTACCATGGCAACAATGTTTTGCAGCAATACATTTTTTTGTTAAGGTGTCGAACCTAACAACATATTAATTGTAGAGCTTCATAGTAGTAAAAGATAGAGAAAAAAAAATTTGGTAATGGACCCCTTAAACACTTCATATTGGATATTTCAAATTACGTTATTGTAGCATGTTTGCTACTTTGTAATTGTTTCCTTCATTATTATAAATTTATGTATGTGTATGTATTTATTTTTAGATTCATGGAACTTGATATAATAATTTTTGCAGGGCTTCATCGAAAAACATCCAAGGGTAAACGAACCCCCTGATTAAATATTATTATCATTCATTCATTCATTCTATTCTATTTTGAAGGGACTGTAGCATTGATCAAGATAAATGGAACACCGATCAGTGAGGAAGGAAAGTTCAATCAAGTCCATGAAATTTATTTTTTTAAAATGCCACTGTAAAACTAACAAAAAAATGCAAGAAGAGATGGAGGTGGGCCAGGTGCTATCTGTTACGTTCATTTAGTTTGATGAATACCCAAAAAACAAATATGATATATATGTATCCCGAAGAACCCCCTTCCTTTCTCTTCATTGGGTGAACTGACATTATTATTGGGTATCAATGCTGAAGATGGTCCAGGACTACCACCAAAATAATGTTATGTTATGAGTAGTGAAAGACTCCTATCTGGAGACCAAAGGGATGCCGCCAATGACGTCATTTTGCTTCGGAAGTAATTAGTATGCAAAATCTATGACGTCACTTTGTTCAGTTAGCACTCTGGTGGAATTTATAATAAGCTTGCAAAATCCATGACGTCACTCAGGCAAGCCTGAGCCCAATGTGACAGGCAACGCGATCAATTAGCATTACAATACAGTAATGAGATCAATTAGCGGCACAACACAGCAACGCGACCAAACAAATTATCAGAGATTACAAATATCGTGTTTCGAACACACGTTTCATTTCTCACTGTTGCATTTTGGCAAGTGTTCTCTGGTTCTCAAGTGTTGTTTGGTGGATTGCGTTGGATCGTTTTTAAAATGGCTCAAACGGTAAGTAAACATAGCGTTTTGAATATATGTTTACGATAGTTTCAGATCAAAGGCTGAATTTCTGACTAACTTATTTTTTAGATTAATATGTTGGATCTGATCAAGGCTTGTGAGACCGAAAGTGAGCTCGACTTTCTCCAGGAATCGAATCACTGATGAGCAGAAGGAAGCTGTTCTTCAACAGCGTATTATATTCTGGACGAACGCGATGGCCGAAGATATTGCACGGGAGAATCCAGTTGGAGTTGATGGCTTCATGGATAATTGGACCGATGATCAACGTCGCCTGTTTAACGAAGACTGGGCCAACGACGATGGGCTGTACGAGGAACTCGAACGGTTGCCTGAACCGTCAGATAACCAAATGGATGAAGGGAGCAAGCGAAAGCACGCCAGTGACAACGTCCCCTCAAAACGCCAAAAAACAGAGGAATATTTTTCAATCAAATCGGCGAAACAAGTCAATGTGAGGAAGTTCAGGACGACAGGTACACATTAAACTGTTTCTATATTTTTAATTATTAAGCGTGTATTTTTAAGCGTAACATCAGTTACGTGTGGGATATATAGATAGGCTTGCTACAGCAATGGGGGTGCGCAACCCCCCCCCCCCC